CAGAATGATATATTAAGCCTTTACCCTTTAAATGCATATCCGTCCTTTTCTTTACTTTAAAATAATATTTAAATCGGTATGGGATATTTTAATATGTTTAACAAGAGTCAAATAATCTTATTTCAGGCTGAAACCTATTGAATACAAGTTGGTAAAGTCACATCAATATTATTACATCGATGTAATCGAATTTCGTTATTCTGTCCCTTTTATTGTTTAATAAATAGCTTTTTATGCATAAATGCTCTGGTTTTAACGTTAAAAGCGAATAATTTATATTTAAAATACAAAAATGCAATCATGCCATGGGCTTTGACAAGTTTAATTTTCTTTTGTAGAATGATAACTCTCAATGAAAATATACCAGGGCGTTAAAAGCAGAGTATTAAGATCAATCATTAGTTAATTGATATAAAAAAAGCAAAAATGTAATCATATGTGTACCTGAGCGGACAACATATCAATCGATTTAATACAATAATTAATCAGGGCTTAAATATTAAATGATGCACTAATACATGAAACATCTTAATATTGACGGTCGTCATCTGAGAACGTCTAATATTATTTAATTTCATCACATTTCAATTTATCATAAAACCTGTTAATGGATCAGTGTTAATATCATGGGTGATGGTTGCAGAATGAAAAAAGAAGATCACTATAGTTGCATGTTGGTAAACTAAATGCAAAAATATGACGTTCCGTTAGACTGTAATTCAATACATTTTCAACATTCGTAACTCGGGTATGTCAAAGAAGACGACTAAATCTATAATTAATTACAAAAGTCTACGGCAGATATTTGCACTAATTGTTGAATTATAATTATTTCTTATATAACTGGTATCCCCCGTAGGTCAGTATACTAGAATACCCACACACAAAATTGTATGAAGTAATTGTTATAAAAAGTCTTGTTCAAGTTTTTTGGGAACATTGAGAATTTCAAGATAGATTATATGTGTCGCATATATTAAAATATAGAAAAGAATACATCTATAGAAGATAATATATAAGCTGCTATTATCTTGCAATGTCTACAATGGAGGCTCTTTATCCTTCTTTATACAACGTGATTGGCCTTTGTCACCAGTATAGAGTCAGACCATCCTGCACCTCAGGGCAGTCTGACAAGGCTGTATATATTTATAAGTTCACTCTTTTATTTTGATATATTTAAATTTCTTTAACTTTGAATGAACTGTTCCAAATTCAACGTGGAGCAAATCCTTTGGATAAATTCAGAATGTTTTTGATGCTGTAGTGATGTAAAAGGAAGCACCGTTAAACCCCAGATGGCAAAAAAATATAAATTTACAGTCTGCCTAGAATATACAGTGTGCAAGAATTAATTACCTCTTTACGTAAATCGAAAATTGCTGATCAGTTTTATTTTCAATCCAGAACACCTTACAAATTATTGTCTGTATCTTTTTTCAGACCTGCTGAGCATTTGTAAATTGAATTACGTATAGCTTTTTTAATATGATGCATATTCATTTTATCTTATTTACTTGATACTTGCTGGAAATATGCTTCCTCGTGTTTACTTGCAGAACGCCACGTGTATCTTGTCACTGGTGATCAGGTATTAAAAATATCCCTTTGTTAATTCAATTATTATTTTCTGGTATCAAATGCATAATTATATCAAACAGGTTTTAACTTAATATCAGGTTTGTATGGAAGAACATACAAAGAGTATATTAATTCTTAATGAACAAAATATATAATATTAGATATATATCTAGTATATACTAGTAACACATGAGATAATTCTTTCTCTCATAACATAATATTTCTGATAATTGTGCACCAAATACCTATATTTTATGGAGGTTATTAGTTCAGTTTCAAACAGTACAAAAACTAAAAGGTCACTTACATGCATGGGATTGCCTATAAACAATGCATCAAAACGGCAAAAATGTTTCTGTATATCAAATAAGGATTTTAAGCCCCGGTTTTCTTATGCTATCGTGTCCAGTGCTTAGTTTTTAATTTTGCATACGCACACCATACATACGCGTATCAAGTTCGATGTCATTTATCTAAATCAGACAAAAAAACTTTGAAAAAAATATATACAAAGTATCAAATAACTTGAATGCCGTGTTAAGAGATAAACTAAGTTCAATTCCCACTTTTTATGAGTTAATAATGCATTACTTGTTACGAGTACAAATTATTTGTCTATGGAGAAAATTAACAATCCTTAGCGCGTATCTTTGTGCATTAGCGTTGCACGACATAGTTATCGTGAGAGGTTAGGCCTCTAACGCAAGCAGCTTTATTAGATGACCTTGTTCAATTCTTGACCCATTTTCAACTTATAAATGCGAACTTAAATGAATGATCTTTTATTTTTAAAAATTCACAGAACGCCTTCCATCAATACTTTTAAGCACTTTGATACTCTATAAAAATGACAACAGACAACATTGTTTTTGACCCATTAAATTAAATCACAACGTCAGTTTGTAGTAAATTGTTAATTTACATGCAATTAATAGTCTATGCGAATAGATTGAATTTAAAAGTTCAATCTTGTCGAACTTCAAACAATGTAACAAGCACAATTTGTTTACTTATTTCAATGTAGTCTGTAAGGAATACAGTATCACATTTTGTAAATTACATATAAAATGCAGTATTGAATAATGTATTGCAAATATCATTCTGTAATTGATATAATGTTCTTGGCGTCATAGATATATAGATACAATAATGCTATAATTTCTGTGGCTAGTTATGAACTACAATCTGTATTATGATATTTTATTCAATTTATAGGGAACAAATATTAAAAATAAGATATCAATGGTTTGTCTTTTGACCGGATTTTAGAAAGTTTGTTAAACAATTAATACGATTTTAGTTCTTACAATATAGATATTGGGAGCAATAGTGTACTTTTTGTACCAAATCAAGAAGTCAAAAGTCTAAAGACATTTAGCTCTTCCTTAATAAGGCAAAAACGTGAAAACACGACTAATAGAAGGGCGAAAAGCACGACACCAAATTACGTCGTGTTTTCGCGTCTTCTTGCTGGAGAGTCGTAAGGACTAAGCACTGATTTACGACCTCGGAAATACGACAGTCACCGTTTGTCTTGATTTAAATATTTGAATATTTGGCCTTTTTGTACCGAAAACACGCTTACGTCGCATAACATAAAACAGCGTTTATGTTAAACACTTTTTGCCAATTCTTCTGACAGTTCCTATTCCTAGTCCAGATTGGAAGATGGACATGTCAATTTCAGATACTTGTATCCTGTTTAAGGATAATAAATAAGAAACAAGTTAACATTTAAATATACTTTCCTAGTATTGCTTTTGCTTAAGTCCGTCTCAAGTGCGGGATCAATCCCTTGTTCGACCAAAGGTTTTGGAAAGGTTATTACAAAATTAATATGGTTTTGTCAACAGTTAATACGTGAAGTGTGTAAAGGCTTATCTGCTAAGCTGTAAGTGTTATACAATTAATAAATGCAGATGAATGTAGGTTTTATTTACTATGGCCGTTGTAACATTAAATGTGGTCAAAATACATTTTCAGTATGAAATAGAAATTTCTTGCAAACCCTATGTTTAATGACTCCTGTAAAAAGATAGATGATCACTTGAAAAACAATGAGCTATCAACAAAATTTATAGAATTGAGTGGATAACGTTAAGTTAACGAATTCAAAACTCGTGTGTTATAATTTTTCCGGTCGCGACAAATGATATACCGATTTTAAGCTAATTAATACTGAAAAAAGTTATTTTTAGTTATTTTTATAGCACTTGTCCCATATACAGTTCGCAAATAAACTCATCGTAAATATAAATATTATTTCATTTTGAAAAACTGATATATTTCAACATTCTCTCGAATAAAGCATGCTATACCCACAAAATAAATCGGTTTTAAATTTGTATCCTTTAAAATTACAGGATAAACTCTCAACTGTTGTAGTTTTTGCGTCATGAGGTATAAATGTGATTTCTAGAATAAATGATTACGTATTTTTTTATTTATATTTACAACAGTGTCAAATACAGTGACTTTAATATTTCATACAGCGAATAACACTAAATCAATGTTTCAGCCTATCCAGTTTAATTTAAGTTCGTCAGATTATATCAATAGTATCCATTTGCGTAATGGAATCGACTTATTTGATAAGCCTATACACCTGGCACAGTTTGAATTAACTGCAGTTTTTGCACATGAATGCACTGGCGTTGAATTTTTTCATGTACATTAAAGTTAATCACACCAAGTGTTCTGAGTGGTTTTCTATTTAGCCGATTTATAGGATGAATATATCAATGAAGTTAAAATCAGATTGTAAAAAGCCAATCATTATGTGATTGACAACTGCGCGACCTTGTTTGATACGTGTGCCTTATATTGAAACACAATCGATTGATTTGATAAAACCATTTACGAAGGATTGTTTACAGCGTAAATAAATACCTCGTACTGATAAATAATTAATTAAACATTTAATGTTGACAATCGTCTATTAAATAGCATGCGTTCAAGTTATGTGAAGGCGGTTTAAGTGCGACTACCATTTGCCATTAACAACATATATTTTTTGTATGACAAATTCTAAGAAGTCATTTTCAAAGGTGCGCTTGTTTTTTTAAATGCCGCAATGTTTGTGGTTGGTATTTAAAAAAAAAAATAAACAAGAAAAAAACAACCATAAAAAACAACAAAAGTCCAAACGGCCAAAAGTCAACGTTTATACTACTTAATAATTACTTACAACATTCACCTATATGATTTATAAAGTCAACATTATATGTATTTAAGGATACATATTTGTTTTCAAGTACACCCAACCCGTTGGTAATTGATTCAAATCACTCGTCCACTGTTGACCCTAAATATCATTGAGTATTTTTGTAAGATGTATATAATAATCTTTCCTGATATCTCTGCTAATTCTTGTATCTTCAGCATATTCCTTATAATTGTTATCATTTTTTTCATTCCAGGTCCGACAGGCGCTGCAGGACACCGGGATAATCCGCGTGCCTGATTAATGGAACAATTATCGGATCAAATAAGAAGATTTGTGGAGATGAGGTATTAAGAAAATCTGCTAGGCAATAAAGCACGCAAATATACGAAGATATTTTGCAAGTATGGGCAATCATCGAAGTTGAATTCTTACACGTTATCTATACACGCCATATTTACATTGTTGTGCCGACTTTTATGGAAATCGGGCTTTTCTTTTTATCTAAAACGAAATCTGCTAGATCAAAATAATTCAAAATCACCGATAATATCAAATTATTCCGAACAATAAGGATAAAAGGATATAGATATCGAATGAACGAAATTACAGGGCGGTTTGCACACATTCAAATCTCCTATACAGACGAAATAACTGGCTGGAGAAATTTATAAAAATGAGCAAAACTGCCAAATAATAAATTGTATCATGTGTTGCCACTCTCTTGTACAAAAAGAAGAAAAAGAAATCGATTTAATTCATTGAAATGAAATATTGTCCTGAAAAATGAAATATAATATAAGTGTGGTGGTCACAGGATAAGTACAAGGAAACATAAATAAGTAAAATTTTAATATCGTGTATATTATATAAACACATCCTGTTTTGATAATGGATAACTGCCTTAAACAGAAAGAAATAAGGAAAAAAGAGAATTTAAATAAGAGTATATGTCTTAAATTTTGTTCAACAAAGATCAGCAGCATAATGTATCTGGAGGACTACTATTGGCAAAACGAACAAGTTTTGTAGATTTGGATATTATCTGGTAGCGTGAGTTAGAAGACTCTATGTATGATTATTACATGATCTAGAGAGAATGTTTTCAAGGCGCATCATGCCATGGGGAAATGCTGTATCATAACTTCAAATTTGTTCGCAGGAACGGATACTATTTTTGGATGATATAATATAGATAGAAGAATATTGCATACAGATGCGCGTTCTTATTATATATTCAAGTGCTGGAGTGTTGAAAAGTGTTGAAAGTTATTATTGAATAACAAAAACGAATTATTGTGACGGTATTAAAGCTTAAAACGAATGTGCTATAAAAATGAAATTAAGTTAACGTATTTAGGAGTTATAATTTGGTGCAATTGAAAAAAAAGTGTGAAAGTTGCTATATAAAATCGTTCTTATAGAAAGAAAACTCACGAAAGAATATTTAAGATTTTATGACTTTGAGATAAATTACTTTTAGTTCCTACTTTTCGGACAGCATAAAATATACATGTAGTTCATATTATATGGTATAAAAAAGAAGAACTAAAACTGCGATATATAAAAAATCGCTTAATCATTAGATAAACCATGTGGTTGGAACAAGTTGGAATGTATGTTTTTAATTATCTTTGAATGAGTGACGAATGTGTTATTATTCTAGGTATACACTGAGATTTGAAAGAGAGAAGGTAAAAAAATATCGCCAAATATTTTGCTCGTTAAACAAATTTCTACACGTGCTTAGTATGCCAAGTTTAAGCGTTTAGAATTTCAAATTAGGCGTCTGTTGTGGAGAGAAAAAAGTGATGAAAAAGAATCGGTAGCAGTCAGGGGGGAAAGCTTGGCATATTTTTCTTTTCTCCTGCATTACTCATTATACATCATCAAATCAGGTGAAAAGGAGAGCATAGGTTACAGAGCTAGAGAGTAGATGTAAAGACAGCGTGTGTTATACACAAGATGGTATATAAAACACTGTGTATTATAACTTATATATATATACCTGGATAGGAACAAATTATAAAAGCGTTGAAGATTGTCGTAAAACGACCGGCAGATGAAAATACGCTTAGATAACATATTTACTATGTTAACATGTACACAAGACTTTACTGGAGTTATGCTGTATGCTGAAAGTTGAGGATTTATTTTTGGTATCGCGTTGAAACCGAACGGATTGTTTGTTTGTTGAATAAATGTTTTATTACGTTTGCGTTCGGTATATCACTTTTGAGAAGTGTTTATCAAACTTGTTTACAATAAACCTACAAACGCGGATGGGAAAATCATTTAATGAACCAAGTTTTATCAAATAGATGTGAAACTATTTCACACATATATTTTTACAGTAGATAAAGATCTACAATAAAAGGGAAATTATAGATATCGGATAAAAATCAAGCTCAGTGTAAAGACTGTGTTTATTTGGAATAGTTGAGTTGTGGAATGATTAATGTATGCGGATAGTTTGTTTTTTCGGAGGTTTAAGAGGATGGTCAAATTAGAGGAATTAATTAGTCTGATGTATGCGATATAGATGAAAAATTTTGAATTTTTTTAAAAGAAAGGATACTACTGTTAAAGGTATTTTTGTTTGAAGATATGATGAAGTACGGATCGAATCTCGAAATAATGTTGCTGAAGAAGATGCGTTTAGTATAATTTACGATAATAATTAGTTATTGAGGTGAATGGGTGTAAATACCTCCATTGATGTGTACAAAATGATGGAAATTATTTCTTAAGTTATTAATAATTTTATTATTTCTACCAAAGTAACTATGGAGTCTACGCCTATGATACAACATCGAGTGCCAGCAGCGCGGAAGCTAAAGCGGATGTTCAGCCGGTACGAGTTTGAAAGCGCCGAGCTGGAGCGCCTGTACCGCCGCTATGTGTTCAAGCTTCGGCAAGCTTCACTAAGCAAATTACTCGGCCTTATGTGCCTTCTTTGTGCCTGCATGATAATTCTCAACTTCTACTATGTTCAAAATATAAGTGTGCCTGGAATATACATGAGCGTGCAATTTACAGTGTTTCTTCTGTTGTTTATTTTTCATAATACGAGGTTTATGAAAGAATCTCATTTAGGTGTCGTTTGCACGGTGATTATGATATTCCTTCTAGGATTTGTTGTGTTTTCATTACCTTTCGATTTTGGATCTATTTACGCTGACAGGCCGTTGCCTACATATACGCCTGTCAATGGAGTCTGGGAAATAATGTTTATTGTGTTCGTTATCTATTCTATGATGCCACTTCGGACTTATCTTGCCGCCATTTTTGGAATTATTATTCCGGTCAGTCACCTGGTAGTTACGCCCCTTGTTGCTAATAATATACCGGAGTTGCTATGGAGACAGGTAAGACTTTTCTAAATTTCATTATTTTTAAAATTTCAAAATCTTAAATTATGTGTTATTTTACTGAAAATATATTTTTGGATAGCGTATTATTCTTACAAGGGTTCTACGTTTCATTTATGACGTGTCAGCGGGTTCATCTGGTCGAGGTAATATTGATTATTTTGTAATGAGTATTCGCGAGTTTAAAACATCGTTCTCATTCTATTATCAAGTAAGTATGTAATACAGGATACGTATTGATAAAATTGTAACTATTATCAGATAATGACCAGGTCAGGCAACGGCTAAAATAATTTCCCTGTCAATGGATGAGCGAACTGACACTGTTATAACAGTGTACAAGTAATAATGCATAAAATCTTCTAACTAACTGAAAGAATCAATGCATCAATCTACCAGTCTATAACTTGAAATGTAACAATAAACTTAAATGTTGGCCTTTTTTTGCAATGTCTCCTTTCCAAAATTGCATTTAAGCAATTCGCTTAGCCAAAAGAAATAGTTTTGTGAATAATAAAGTAATGATAATAATAACAATGACGACGAGAATTAATAATAATAATAATAATAATGATGATGATTATGATTATGATGATGATATTATTATTATTATTATTATCATTATTAGTATTATTATTAATATTATTTATCTCTACAACCACTGTTTCTACTAGTAGTAGTACATGTATTTCTACAACTTCTACTACCATTACTAATGATGATTTTGATGATGATGATGATGACGACGACGACGATGATGATGATGATGATGATTTTTACCAAAAATATCTTTTTTTTACTTTAGCTACAAAGCCTTTGAAAAACATAGCCATTAAATCATCAACTCTACATCTAAGAAAGGAGGCAAAGTTGTTTTGTACTTCTGTTCTGCTACATCATGAATATGTTCCAAGATCGATACTCATGCATGTTCAGTGGTAATAGAATCTAGCATGATAAAATTACGTTACTATATGGAGGGAAATTTTCCAACTTAATGAAGGTCAGATGTATTGGATTATTTCCTTTCCTTCTCATTAACGTGGAAAAAATACAATTATTATAAAACATGTACATAACATGCAAAAAATTAAATTCTTGACAGCATATTGAGAAATTTATCTTCCGCGACATAAAATAGTTCCTTGTCAAGCTCTCGCAGAAGTATGACTAGGCATAAATCTGAAAAAGAAATTCTGGAGTGAGATGCACGTTGCAGTTAATCGATTAGATAATTTCTGAGTGATAAGAATTAATTAGAAGGATTTCTACCTACACCGTTTCCTTGACCTTCAGTAAAATTGGCAGCAAAATCTAACAGAAGTCGATGTAGGACAGAATATACAGTTTTGTTTTCAGAACGCGTATGATATATATTGTTATACTAATAATATAATTATCGTATAAAACACGTATTGAATGGGAAAAAATGGAATTAATATTTCTTATTCATTTTTTTTCACATATATTTTTCGATTAGCCGTTTTTTAAATTACTTTAGCAAATAATTTCACAAACTTTAATCAAAGTGAAATAGATAGTTATTTACTAATTGTTACCAAAGTGATGTACTTTAGCACTGAATTCTTTATTGCAAAAAATGAATTTTAGACGAAATAATTATTCTCTTAATGATAATTTTAGACGAAATAATTATTGATACGAACTATAGTATTATTAATTGTTAAAATCGATCATCTCAAAACATTTGATAGAGTGTTGATATTATGTATATATGTTGATGTCGTACACAGTTTGGTATTTTGCATGATTTATGTCCTCATGGGCTTTAAAGCTTATTGAAATAAAATTTCTACTTTAAACAAAGATAGATATAAAAAGTTGTTGCAAAGAATACGAAAAAAGTTCTTGTTCTCTCACATATATATGTAAACAATAGAAATAAAGTATACAACTTAGACAAACGGCACGGTCACAAAAAGTTGTAATATGCAAACTAGACTGTATCATTTAATTTCAAGGTTCATTAAAGCTTCCAAATTAAACTCCTTTAAACAGAGAAACACTGATAATACATGTGACGACCTTTAGTTTTACAAGATCAGGAACTAATCAAATGCGCCCATGTTCACTTTTATCTACGGATCGTAATTGTTAAAACTAGGTTTTATGTGCGTGTAATACACGTGGTTTTTATATGCTAACTACTGGATATAAAAATGTTGAATGGCAATAAAAACTGACAAAGTAAGCTGACGGCTTGAAAACCGTATTGAATAAAATGTTATGTTTAACTCTAAATTGGTACTTTGGCAAATGCAGGCCTGTAATGTAGGCCGGGCAAATTAGTGTCTGTTTTACGTTCAAACTTTGTACTCTTAAATGCTTTGTAAATAACGTGTAATTTAGACGTTGTAACCTTTCTATATGTGATGTTATTTTCGTTTATCACATGGCTCCAGTTTTTAGTATTATTTTTTTACCGCTTGTGTCATTGTATAGCCTTGATTTTTCATAGCATCATGCTAATTTGACATAACTTTCAAAGCACCACAATATAACATTTATTGTACATTAGTTTGGTATATTGTCTATGAAGTCTAAACGTTTTATATTGGTTAAATATATCCTCAGTCTGTAGCAGCAGCCATATCTTCTTCAGTCTGAAACAGTTTGCTATATTCAAATTTTGTTCTTAATATATAAGTTGATGTAACTGACAGTTGCAACAAATTATATACAGGTATCACAAATTGTTCTAAAAACGTAAATATAAGTTAAATATGTCTGCCATTTGCAAAACGATATTTTTTTTTTTTTCAAAATTCAGTATCTTCATTTAAATGCTTCTGTCTGTCGCAACATGACATATTTATGCTAACAAGATTGTCCCATAAAAATTTCGCATTAGTTTGATGTCGTGCGAACGTTTTTCGTGATTTAATGTGTGTTTTATAAAAGCTGAAGTGCATGTTATTTAAGTTGCAAACGGTTTAAAACCTAAGAACTCTAAAACTTTTTAAAATTCGATTTTCTTTATTTGAGTGTTATAATATGTATTTTATCAGGTTCTTTTTTTTTTTGTATGGTTTAATTGCATATTTTTTGTTGTTTAAAAGCGCATTATGCCTCTGAAACAAATGACTTGTTTACTCCTGATTTGAATTTCAAAACGTTTAAATAATGGGGACGAAAGGAGCGATGAATGAAATATTTGTGGAGCGATAACGGAAAATATTTGTAATAAGTATCAAAATGTAAACAAATACTAATTCACTATAACTGTACTTAATGTTAAAAAGCAACTTATGAAAACGATGGTTCAAGTAATAAACCAATGAGTAAAACTTTTTTGATACTATAAAAAGCATAAAGGCATAATTGGCCTTTAATGGGCCTGTGAAGTAAAATAAAGCTCTTTTTAGAAAATAGCTGCGTTTGTATTACATTTCATCATAAAATGTGCTTACTATTTACATGTTAAGCCGGTAAGCATACAAATTATTTAACATCTCGTGTCGCTTAAATTAAAGAAACTGTAAAACTTACCATTGTTTTTCACCTTTTAAGGACATGAAAATAGTTAAGTGTAACAAGACTGTGTTATGACATGTTTGTATATATGATAAACGCGGTCTGTCCGTGCTTTTATGGTTGTTATTCATTATTCGCATACCTTATGTAGATCTTTCGCTTTGTTATTGGTGCTCTGAACAAATTGTAACTCTATTTCAATAACAAATAAAAGTATTTAATGCTTCCAAATATGCATACATTGATAACAATTGCTCTGTGTAACATTTTTTTTTAAATCCCAATAAAAAATTATAGAATGTTATGAATATGGATTTTTTTTATTTTATTTTTGATTTTTTATATATACGGGTATATATTTTTGTAGTGTTTATGTCTTCTCTACCTATACGGATGCTGCAAAATTATCAGTTATCAAAAAAGTTTGCTGTATTATAAATTCGTTATACATATTCCTGACAGGTTATATGACCGTATATATAAGGTTGTTTGCAATATAACCATAATAAATATATTTCCAATCAGCCGTTTATATATAGGGCCATATAACCTGTCAGGAATATGTATAACTAATAATATACACGGTTGCTGTCAATTCATGAAGAAATCTCACTTTTTTCACTAAAAACGAAAGTTTGCAGTATTATAAATTCGTTACTAATATTCCTGACAGGTTATATGGCCTTATATGAACTGTTGTTTGCAATATAACCCTCGTATAGCTGTTTGAGAGATATTTACAAGCAACTGATTATATATGGCCATATAACCTGCAAAAATCTTTATATCTTATAATACAACATGTCCAAACATGGTCAGTGGTAAATAGTCCGACCAGCACACACCCAAACAGTGCAACCAGGCTTATTTATTCTTCATATCCCAGTGTAAGCTTGACAAGACCATGTAAGACATTCAGCTAGTTAAGGATTTTTTTTTATTTAATTCGCTCTGTCTAAGGGAAATTCATAACATGGTAAAATGTACGATTCATTGAGTTATCTGTCTTGAAAATTAAACACGTTTAATAAAGCGTGCTAATTTAAGAACTAAAAAAACAATGTTTTAGATCCGGTTAATTGATATTTATGACAACGTTATGAAAGTATAAATGCCATTTTATGAAATATGATGCAGGAGAACAATAAATGTAGGTAGTTAAATTATAATAAAAACGGAAAGTCGTAAAATTTGAAACATGAGATATTAACGAGTAAATTATTTTCTTCTATTTTTGTGATTTACGCGTGTTCATAGTTAAAAGGAGTAAGGAAAATAGACACGATGTGATATCACTTATTTAAATGTGTCTTTAAATCTGTCTAGTCGGTGCTGGGGGCGTAAACGGTTGCTTGGACTTAACCACTACCGTCCTCGAATAGGCACAATAAAAACGAGCCTGTGATATATTTATTATTTTGCCGTTCTTTTGGGATTCCGTTTTTATGAATTAGGCAAACATATATTTGTATTGTATTGTATTGTATTGTATTGTATTGTAT